AACTAGACTGATTTTGATTTGAACCAGTCCATTATCCACATGGACAGTGTCACCATCCATTTTTCCCTGCGCTCTGCAATGATGCAACCCTATGAGACCCAGGGATTGGTAGTTTGGTGTGGCTGAAGACCTTATACAACCACAACTCCCATGATTCTATAGCATTGAGCCATTGGAGTTAAAGTGGTGTCAAATGGCATTATTTGTTTATTTATTTATTTACCATATTTAGATCCCGCCTTTTTCACCCCAGAAGGGACTCAAGGTAGCTTTACAACAGGCAGTAATTCGATGCCATACACACATATCAAATAAACAATTACAATTAAAATCAAACAATTAAATATGAATTATTAAAACATCAATTAAAATCATGTCAACCAAAACATAATCCAGGGCTGTTCCATTTGTCAATCACATTGGTTCATAGTCACTTATTGCACTGCTCCAATTACTTGTCAAAAGCTTGATCCCAAAGCCATGTCTTAAGTTTGTTCCTGAAGGCCAGGAGAGAAGGGGTTAATTTGATCTCACTGGGCAGGGAATTCCATAGCTGAGGGGCCACGACTGAGAAGGCCCTGTCCCTCGTCCCCATCAATCGCACTTGCGAAGGAGGTGGGACCGAGAGCAGGGCCTCCCCAGATGATCTTAATCTCTGAGATGGTTCATACAGGTAGGGGGAGATACATTAGGACAAGTAAGATGAGCCAAAACTGTTTAGGGCTTTATAGGCTAAAGTCAGCGCTTTGAATTGTGCTTGGTAGCAGATTGGCATCCAGTAGAGCTGGCGTAACAGGGGGGGGGGTGTACTCCCTGTATCCTGCTCTGGTGAGAAATCTGGCTGCCACCCATTGGACCACTTGAAGCTTCCGAACAGTCTTCACAGGCAAACCCACGTAGAGTGCATTGCAGTAGTCTATTCTGGATGTAACCAGAGCATGGGCTACCATGACCAAGTCTGACTTCCCAAGGTATGGTTGCAACTGGTGCACAAGTTTTAATTGTGTAAAAGCCCCCCTGACCACCACCGTGTTCCAGGCTCAGCAATACAATATAGATGCACCATTAGATATGCTTTGCCAAGAATTTGTGTTACACAATTCTCTTTGAATAATCTAAAGATGGGCAGTAGATTCCCCCCACTGAATAGAAGGTGAGTGTGTTACATAGGCCTAGCTTGGAAGGCATTCAGGTCATTCATGCAAAGAATTAGCTTTGCTCACAAATTTCTGAAAAAGCAGATATGAACAGTTAGACAAGCATTGACCACAAATCTCAAGCAGAATATTTTTAATCTGGTTCAAATTACATTTCTCCATTGCCAAATCATTCTGGATATAATTCAGCCATAAATACTGCTGAATTATATGACATATTTATTTGCAAGTAAAAATTGTTCAGGACTGGTGATATAATGAACTAAATGAATTCCTTGTCCTGACCATCTGTTCTGTTGAACCATAAAGTTATATGCTTACATAAGAATAATGTGCATAATAAACCCATATGCCCTGAATGATTCAATTCCACCCTTCATATAAAATTATCTGTTCATTTATAGTTGTGAGTACTACTTATACTAAGTGTGAAGACAAGGGGAGTAAAAGAGAAAGGGGAGGCCACGACTAGTAATATCTCCGTTCTCAAGCAATTATTCTAATTGGAAGTTAATTACTGTACTTTAAAAGTATAACTAAAGAAAAGAATCTAAGGGTGCATCTACTCTATAGAAATAATGCATTTCAGATAATGGGAGTTGTAGTTTGGCGATGCACCAGTTCTCTTTAGCGACAAGGCTAGGGATATTATAACACTGCAGCTCCCCTGATCCCATAGCACTGAACCATGGCAGTTAAAGTGGTGTCAAACTGTATTAATTACACAGTGTAGATGCATTCTGAATAGTGTTTACGAAATGCCAATACTTATTTTGAAAGGCATGAATTACATTCTTTACAACATCAATCACCATTACTAAAGTATTTGTTTTTGCTATTTTACAGCCATAAGAAGCAAGGCTACATTTCATAGCTACAGACATAAATCACAGAGTTATTTTTAGGTTTTGGTAAAAGTTAATTTTCCTAGAAAAACAGAAACTACAGAGAATATCCTATGCATTATAAGTGGAGGTCTCCTGTTTTTGAGGAACAGTAGAATGAGCAATAATTGTCAAAGGCTTTCATGGCTGGAATCACTGGGTTGTTGTAGGTTCTTCCGGGCTATATGGCCATGTTCTAGAGGCATTTTCTCCTGACATTTTGCCTGCATCTATGGCAAACATCCTCAGAGGTAGTGACGTCTGTTGGAACTAGGAAAAAAAGCCTTTCCTATAAACCCCTTTTTCCCCCTAGTTCCAACAGACCTCACTACCTCTGAGGATGCTTGCCATAGATGCAGGCGAAACGTCAGGAGAAAATGCCTCTAGAACATGGCCATATAGCCCAGAAAAACCTACAACAACCCATGAGCAATAATGTCTGTTCTCTTTCTTTCTTTCTTTCTTTCTTTCTTTCTTTCTTTCTTTCTTTCTTTCTTTCTTTCTTTCTTTCTTATTATACCATGATCAGATTTACAGGTTTCCTACATTGTCCACTAAAACTTCATTGTACATTTGGAAGATAGTAGTCCAACTCTTAAAAAAGAAATCCCCCATGTCTGAGTCTTTTGGGGCTTTTTGCATGGCAAATAAGGGCAACGTTTGGTTCTGAGGGTTCGAAGGAATGGATGTATAATCGATTTTAGTATGACGACTGACCACTGTAGTTTTGAATACATTTGTTGTTTTAATGTGTTATTGTAATATGAACTATGATGTTTTACCGATTGTATGTGTTTTTATGGTTGGAAACCGGTCTGAGTCCCTCAAAAGAGGTGAGAAGGTCGGTATATAAAACTTTGAAATAAATAAATAAATAAATAAATAAATAAATAAATAAATAGACCAGCACATCAAACTAGGCATACATCCTAAATAGTCAACTGTTATGCTATCCTTGAACACGCAGTCCCCAAATTATGAACATAATAGATTCTTTAAGTTTGTTCTTAAGTTAAATCTGTATGCAAGTCAAGTACATTGATTCAGTCTGTGTTTTTCAACCTTCCTAATGCCGCGACCCTTAATAAAATTCCTCATGGTGTGGTGACCTCAAACCATGACATTATTATCGTTACTACTTCATAACGGTAATTTTGCTACTGTTATGAATCATAATGTAAATATCTGATATGCAGAATGTATTTTCAGTCACTGGACCAAATTGGGCACAAATACCCGATACGCCCAAATTTGAATACTGGTGGTGTTGGAGGGATAGATTTTTGTCATTGGGGAGTTGTAGTTGCTGGGATTTCTAGTTCACCTGCAATCAAAGAGTATTCTGAATTCCGCCAGTGATGGGATTGAATCAAACTTGGCAAACAGAACTCCATGACTAACAGAAATACTAGAAGGGTTTGGTGTCTGTTCATGCTGTCTGTATGAAGCAGGAGGATTTGGGGAGTTTTAGCTCCAAAAAATCAACTTTCTAAACTTTGATGTCAGGAGCAACTTGAGAAACCGTAAGTTGCTTCTGGTGTGAGAGAGTACATTGCCCAGGGGATACCCGGATGTTTTACCATCCTGTGGGAGGTTCTCTCATTGACCTTGAGTTTTGGAATTGCAGTTCACCGACATTCAGAGAGCACTGTGAACTCAAATAATGATGGATCTGGATCAGACTTGGCACAAATACGCAATCTGTCCAAATGTGAACACAGGTGAATTTTGGGGGAAATAGACTTTGACATTTGAGAGTTGTAGTTGCTGGGATTTGTAGTTCACCTATAATCAAAGAGCATTCTGAACTCCAAAGATAGAATTGGGCCAAATGTCCCACACAGAGCCCCCATGACCAACAGAAAATACTGTGTTTTCTGATGGTCTTTTGGTGACCCCCCTGACACCCCCTCATGACCACCAGGTTGAGAAATACTAATTTAAATGTAACTTCAGCCGTAGAGGTAGAGGTAGAGGTAGAGGTAGAGGTAGAGGTAGAGGTAGAGGTAGAGGTAGAGGTAGAGGTAGAGGTAGAGATAGATAGATAGATAGATAGATAGATAGATAGATAGATAGATGATAGATAGATAGATAGATAGATAGATAGATAGACAGACAGACAGACAGATAGAAAGATAGATAGAAAGATAGATAGAAATATGTAATTTTAGCTTTGGGTAGCATAGGGAAGGGTTAAACCCATGTGACCTTTGCTTTGCTGTCTGTGCAAATGTTTCAAAAGATTTCATCTCACTTTCTGTCCCTGTGTTAATTGGATTTTGAAAAATATGGCTTGTTGTGGAAACCTGGATTGGTGATAAGGCTTCAGTGAAGACACCTTTTCCCATGCTAACTCTTGGAGTACCAAATTTTCCTTCTTGTTGTCTCACCCCAGTTCTTAACTAGGATTAGTATAAAGAAATTACCAGCAGTCCCCAAGCTACAAACATCAGGTTGACATTCCTTAAATATAAAGAAATCACAGGCAGTCCGTGAGTCAGATGTTTGTAACTTGGGGACTGCTTGTAATTCCTTTATATTTAAGGAATGTCAACCAGGCAGAGAACATAACCAGTGTTGAAAACTAGTGGTGGTAAAATAGACATCATAAACAAATGAAATTTATTACAAATAATGAAATTTAGTAAGGATTTATATGTGGCTAAGGTCATCATAAACACAAACGTGGCAACTGAAGCAAAGAGCAGATTGCACTGCTGAATGGTTCTGCCAAGTTTTGCACTTATTTAACGTGGAGGTGAAGCTACAACACTTTATTCTTTTACAAAATGACTCTGGTTAAGTAACACACACCTGGCTTTGAGATTAAACAGAACACCCCGAAATGTGTAACAAACAAGGTGATGTTTTACTCAAGCTGTACAACTTTCTCCTACAAGAATTTCCTTTAAGATTAGATTTGAACATTTCATATCTTTTTGGAAGCCCAAGTACTTACCACTTCCAAGCAGTCCACGATCTTTGACAGCTTATCTTCGGGTAAATTCTTCAGCAAAGACACACTTGGAAATAATGAAAAGCAATTTTGTGCTTTTAATGCACATTGAACATAAAATTTCAACTTTCTTTATTAAACCAGTATTTTGGACAGTTATTGTTACTCAGTAGAATTTGAAATAATGTTATGAATGAGATCTCTCAAATTTGCCATTATCCTTGACATTGCTTCCATGCTGTCTGTATGAAGCAGGGGGATTTGTGAAGTTTCAGCTCCAAAAAATAAACTTTCTAAACTTTGATGTCAGGAGCGACTTGAGAAACCGCAAGTCGCTTCTGGTGTGAGAGAGTACATTGCCCATGGGACGCCAAGATGTTTTACCATCCTGTGGGAGGCTCTCTCATGTCCCAACATAAGAAGCTGGAGCTGACAGGTGGGAGTTCATCCTGCTCCCCAGATTCAAATCACTGACCTTTTGGTCAGCAGTTCTGCTGGCACAAGGGTTTAACCCACTGTATCACTGGGAACAGTGAAAGTGAGTGAATAAAGATTAAATAGAGGTAAACATTCAAAAAGGGACAGAAGAAGCAACACTAACAAATCCTTTCTCTGTGTGTGTGTGTGTGTGTGTGTGTGTGTGTTTGAAGTGCTTTTCTCTGTAATTTTGACACTATTATAGTTGTAACACCTGTACTTATGTGAACTGTCTCCCAATTAAAATCCTAAAGCATGGTATTGGTACAAGAAAAAGATTTTTAAGCCTGCATTTTTAAAAAAATCTGCACTGTTCTCAAGATAAAGAGTAAAAAAATGGCCTGCCTGCAAATCATCTGCCAGCCAATAGAATGGACATTATAACAGGGCATTAAAAAGAACCTGTTACCAGGTACCCATTGTCCTATTCACAGTTCTGACATTCAGATTGTGTTGAAATTGCTTATATATTTTTTTCAAAATGAGGAAGTCGGTGCAGCATTGAAAATAAATTTAACACACCCATGTCCCCTTAAATTGATTTTAGAAAACAACTCATCTGGAATTGCAAGAGATGTATTTGGGGATTATTTTGATTTTCTGTAACTTGAATAAGATATTAAAACAGATGTGGGAATCATGTAGTTCAATGATGAAATTGTACATGTCTGTTTGTCTCCACCAGATATCCAAAAGCCAAGACTGGCTTTCCATTTGCACATACAACCATCACTTAGCATAGGTTTTGCATCCTTATTCAAAATTCCCAGATCTGAAATACTCCAAAATCCAAAATTGTCCACTTGTGTGGCTGAGATAGCAACACCTTTGTTTTCTAAACTTTGTTTCATGAACAAACTTACTTAAAAGGTAAGTTTATCTTCAGGTTATACATATATGGTGAATACGAAGCATAAATTAATGTTGTGTTTATACTTTGGTCCCATGTCCAGATACTGCATGCTGTATATGCCAGTATTCCAAAATCCCAAAAAAATATGAAATATGAACACTTCTAGTACCAAAAATTTTGGATAACGGATACTCAGCTTTTGTTAAAAAAGAACAATTCGCTTCATCCATGAAAGAAAGGCTGTAGAATGCATAGGAGGACAAAATGTCCTTTTATAAGGGAGGATGTCCAACCTATATCATGGGTGAAGCCAACTATGACTATATAATTTGTCTATATCAGTGGTTCCCAACCTGTGGTCTGTGGACCACCAATGGTTCCATGAGAACGAAAATATGGCCTGTGGCCTACACTGTTTCAATAAGAATGACTGGTCTCTTGAAACCCTCTTATAGTGCCAAGGTTTATTAAATATGGTTTTCTGTGGGCAACCAGATGTTGACTACTGGATGGCAGGTGTTCTGTATCAAAAACTAGAGCTGATGTGGTCTATCCAATGCAATTCTCTGAATCAGTACCCCAAATAACCAAACTGAATCTAAAGTTGACCAAAAACCGATTTGTAACCCTTTTGGTACTAATGTTGGAGAGTGGTCCCTGCTCAAAGTGTTCCCTGTTCAAGTGGTTCCTGGTCAAAAAAAGGTTGGGAACCACTGGTCTATCACATCTGAAGTCAATGAATGGTCAGTGTAGACTTTCACAGATGTTCCCCCCAAAACTATTGGCCAATTTAGTAGATATCTGCTAGGCTCGTAGATAAAATAAAAACATTGAGATTTCACTTCCCAAAGAGGACAATTTTCACTGGCAGTCTGCTCCAATAAAATCACCTGGGTTTAATGATCATTGGTCATCTTGGATCTCAATTAATTTTTAGTAAAGGCAATTAAGCATTGTCTTAACACTACATTTACCTTCTAAGGAAGTTTCTGTATTGGTCATGTCTTGCTTGTGCTGTTCTTCTCATTATATTTTGGAAAACTTCTCTGTCTAATGCCCATGTTTTCACGATAGTGACAGCTTTAGGGAGGGAAGGGGAGAAAAACAAAATGAAGAAAATGTGACATTTTATGGTGTACCTGATAGTGATTGTCCACCTTAAACAAGTCCGCTGAGAATAGCACATTCTCACATCTATCTGAGAAAAAGTTCTTTGCTCACATTCAGGCTGGTGTTTTTGCATCACCTTTTTATAGCAGGATTTTTCACTGAAGCATCCCTCCTAACTTCTCACCTTGTTAGTGTTATTACACGGTTTCACCTTGCAATTGCTTGTTTTTTAAAGAACGTGTGAGTCTTGGCATTTTCTCTTTGAAAACAACTTATAAATACAGGAACAAAATAAATGCAATTGCCAACAGCATTTCAGAGAAAAGAACCAACATTTTTTAAGAGCCTTCAAAGTCAATAGATGAAACAGCAGGAGCAAATTGTCTAACTTTGAATTCAGCCATCCTCTGCCATTGTTGCTGCTGGGTACTTTCAAGTCATTTGAACTTGAGGAAGAACTTTCTAACCGCGAGAGATGTTCAGCAGTGGAACTATCTGCCTCAGAGTGTGGTGGAGGCTCCTTCTTTCGAGACTTTTAAAAGGAGACTGGATGGCCATCTGTTGGGCATGGTTTGAATGTGATTTTCTTAGTAGGGGGTTGGACTGGATAGCTCATAAAGTCTCTTCCAACTCTATTATTCTATGATTTCTGAGTTCTGATGACCATAAGGCAGTACTTGGAGAAATGGCTTCTTGCATTACAACCCCAAGAATCTTTCCAGTTAGCATAGTATAAGAATTTTAGCCCCCAGAGTAAATTTTCCAAGCTCCATAACGTGGTTCAGGAATACATTTGACTTTCAGCTTTTGGATACTTCCCATCCCTTAAGCACACAGATTTGCTAAAAAGGAGTGAAATGGGATAACCCCTTTGAGACATCCTGAAATGCTTTTCAAAAAGCAAATGAAATTGAAATATAATGGACGATATTTATTGTTATCATTGTTCGCCCTTGACCAAACTTCAGGCGACCCATAATACATTTGGCTGTATTTATGCAGATAGAACTATTTTAAAAGACTTCATTGGCCATGTCAAGCAACACAGGATTGAATGGCTTGTGACTGCTAATAAATTAAAGCTGCAAGCTATGGAGAATGTCAATTGCTACAGAAGCGATGACCCTCCGCATCTGCAGTCCATCTGCCTTCCCTTGAGGGAAATTGACACATTCCCTTCCGAAGAGCCTGTGGTCATTCTCAGGGGACTTGGATTTTAGAAATGAGATATTGAACGGCTGCCGTTACCATTTTGTATATCCCTCATCCTTCCTAGTCATTCTATCTCCTATAATATTAGGTGTGATATTATCAGTTCTCCACATCTATTAATAAGAGTAAAGAGACAAAAACACAACACTGAGGCCCCTTCCACACAGCTGAATAAAATCCCACATTGATCTGCTTTGAACTGAAATATATGGCAGTGTCGACTCAGATAACCCAGTTCAAAATAGATATTGTGCGATTTTCTGCCTTGCTATTCTGTGTGGAAGGGTCCAAAGATGTCATGTGGAAACTCCAGGTCTATCAGGATAAAGGAGAAGGAACACACATCATTTTCTGTTTGCAAACTCCTGTATTTTCCTACCACTCTTTTCATCTTTCTCCTTACCAAAACAAAAATCAATCAAGAAGGAAAGGAGACGAAATGGTTGCATCGTACCTTTTTTCATTGTTAGACTAGATGCTAGTCACAAAAGAAGCACAGTTTAAAAGACAGATAGAAAACCTTTGCATTTCCATTACTTAACAACTGCTGAGATGAATTTAGGATGCAGAGCAACAAGGCTGACAAAGAAACTGCAAATTCATATGCACCAAAACCTGCTCCAACCTGACCTGGAGCTGAAACTAGCTGACAAACTGGGAACGCTCTGCGAAAAAACAAAAGGAAAAGGAAAAGGAAAGGTTCCACTAGATAAACTAATCTGCATGGTACTGCTTTTTGTATGAGATTAGCAGAAATCATTCTGTGCTGCTTTTCTGAACATAAATTGAATCTGATGGGCATGAAGAGCTGTTGGCATTCATAAAACTGTTGATGCTTCAGAAAAGCTAGTAGGGACAGGACCCACTTGCCAAGGAGTCAAAATGAGCAGTTCCTTTACAAAAGGAGTGGAAATTGTATGATTATCAAGATGCCGTTGATTGTAACTCCCAGCATTCCTCAAAGATGACTATGGTCCATTCTACACTGCCATGTAGTACATTTCAGAATGTACTTAACCGCTTTGAACTTAATTATATGTGTCCACACTGCCATATAATCCAATTCAAAGCAGTTAAACAGCATTGTGAAACTTCACTATATGGCAGTGTAGATGGAGCCTGTTTTGGTTGGGCTTGGAAGATCAAAGGCTTTCCAATCCTAAAGCTTTCTGACTATGTCTCAATATTAGAAACATACTGCCAAAATCAATCATCAGGGTTGCTCCACAGCGCTTACAACACTAGTCATAGAATCATAGAATCAAAGAGTTGGAAGATACCTCATGGGCCATCCAGTCCAACCCCCTGCCAAGAAGCAGGAATATTGCATTCAAATCACCCCTGACAGATGGCCATCCAGCCTCTGTTTAAAAGCTTCCAAAGAAGGAGCCTCCACCCTGGGTACCTCACTGTAGAATATTGCAGTTTGACACTTTAATTGCCATGGGTGGATATTGTGGAATCATGGGTGCTGCAGACACCAAGAACAGGGAAGGCCTGGCCCTTGAGCACTCTAGCTGGAGATCAGCTGTGACCAGCAGTGCTGCGGAATTAGAAGAGGCACAAATGGAAAGTGAAAGGGAGAAACATGCCAAGAGGAAGGCGCATCAAGCCAACCCTGACCTGGACCGCCTTCCACCTGGAAACCGATGTCCTCATTGCAGGAGAACACACAGATCAGGAAAAAGGTTCCACAGTCACCTATGAACCCACCATCAAGACACTACACTTGGAGGGCCATCATCCTCGGGCTACGAGGTATTGGTTAAGTAAGTAAGTAAGCTGCAGTTTTACAAGATATTTGGCCTTCTCTGCCAAAAGCGGTAATACCTCACCAAACTACAAATCTTAGGATTAAATAGCATTGAACCATGGCACTTAAAGGGGCGTCAGACTGCATTAATTCTACTGTGCAGATGTGCCCCTATTTATTTCACACTTACCATGTCTCTCTACCTGTCTGTCCCATTGTAGCTTACTTTCATGTTTTAGTTATGGAATATTACTTCAAATTTGTTATTTCAGTAGCATGCTGACTTGGCAGTAGACAGGGATGTTAATTCATCATTAAGCTTCTTCTCAAAAGTAGCAACAAATAATTTCAGCAATGTTCTTCCCTTTGTGAGAACGTCTTCAAAAACCATGCAGTTTTCAAATGCTATTCCGTAATTCAAGACTCTTTGCATGAAATTTGCACATGGTTGTTTTCTACAGAAAACAAACATGTGCAAAAAAAATATTTTCTACAGAAAACAGTCATGCACAAAAAACAATATTTCAAAACAAAAATATTAACATTCCTGAACAGAAAATCCCATTTTCTGCATGAAATGAACCCTGGCAAAATTTTCATAGAATAAATTCCAAACTGCAAAGATTCTCATTTGTCCAGAATTCTTCTCAAGGTTTCTGAACACTTGAAAAATATGCTTTGAATATTCAATATTTGAAATTATTGAATATTCTCTCCAAGCAGCTGCTTGATCCAATGGTAAGATCTCTATAGCTTGCAGAAATAAATCCCAAAGCCAAGAATAAGTCGAAAGAGTACACTCACCCTTCACTGAGGCTGTCCTTGTGCAATTGTACAAAATAGCCAACTCCCCAAACGCTGTCCACACAGGAATGGATGAGAGAAGTTTGTTCTGTTGAAAGACTTCCACTTTACCCTCTGTGGGGAGAAACCATCAAGAAAAGGATGATGTTACAATACAGAAACACACATCCTTGTTTTCAGAGAAACTCTACTTAAGGAGCCATGCCAGTTTTATGAAAGGGGGATACTTGGGTTGCCTTTGGAAGGTGTACTTATTTAGGGTCCTTGTACTAAATAAGTACAGTATTTAGGGTTCTTATACAGGCTCCCTGGTGGCACAGTGCATTAAACTGCTGAGCTGCTGAACTTGCTGACCAAAAGGTTGGTGGTTCAAATCCAGGGAGTGGGGTGAGCTCCTGCTGTTAGGCCCAGCTTTTGCCATCCTAGCACTTCAAAAATATGCAAATGTGAGTAGACCAAATGGTATACCACTTTTGCGGAAAGGTAACAGTGCTCCATGCAATCATGTTGGCCACATGACCTTGGTGGTGTCTACAGACAATGCCGGCTCTTCAGCTTAGAAATGGAGATGAGCACCACCCCACCACCCCCTCCCCAGAGTCAGACATGACTAGACTTGATGTCCTGCTTCTTGGAAGGGGGTTGGTCTGGAAGGCCCACGAGGTCTCTTTCAACTCGATGATTCTATTACTTTATCAAGGAAGCTATAGCCCTGAGTTTACAAGTCCTTAGCAGGGCTCTCAATACCAAGGTGTCTTGAAGGTTTCTCATTCATAAGGTCATGATAAGTCAAAGCTGACTTGATAGCAATTAACAACAAACAAGAATGAAACAGTCCTTCCAGCACTTAAATCTATTTATAGTTAAACTCTAGCTCTAGCTTTTTTCACTACCAGAGTATCATTTTAGATGAGAAACAGTCTTCTTTTTCTTCCCTTATTTATTGTATTGATAAACAATTGAAAAATATTATTTGTTTAAAAAATCAGGATCTAACTGGTTGATTTTGATCGACCCCCTGTCTTCCACTGGCTGAGAGAAAGGAATTAAAATCATGCAGCCTGTAGATCAAAGCTCTTATATGAGCTTTAAATCCAATTTTCAATCTATACAAGCAAGGTACATCACAATCTCTGTATAAGGACTCTGCCTGGAGGCACACTCTTGGAACGGTTTTATAGCCACTGAAAAATGGATTTCATTAGTGTTAACAATACTTTACCCCTTTCCTGTATTCTAGATCTGATTTTTGGCTTCAACTAAGAGTGTGATTTCATGTGCAATGAACGTCTTTAAATGGTGGCATTTCTTCATTCTGTGTCCTTGCTGCCTTCATTTGAATTGCTTTCCTTCACTGGAATATATCACAGCAAGGTGTCCATAAAAAGGCTCTTAAGCTAAAACATAGCATTATTGTTGTGACATTGGATAGCATCAGTGGAAATGAAAAATGAATCTACTTAGGGGAGGAAAGGACATGTTTGCTCTTGATGGCAAATTTCCATGAGCCATTTCCTCTCTAGCATTGATTTCAGTTGCTTAATTAGGAGTAACTCAATTCACTATTGACGTTACTAGAATGATGGCAGTTAAGTACAATGGGGTCAAATTAAACGTAATGGTAGCACCCTTAACCGCTGAATCACATGTCTCGCCATTTGTCGACAAAGCGTGTGGGCGCATGCACATGTGCATGGACACTTGATTTTAACATCAAAAAGGTGTGAAGAAAGCAAAGCATGGAAATATATTTTTAGATAAATAATTCATTGGTTTTATTCACCAGTGTTGAAAAGAATCCAAATTCATTATCATTAAATTCGGAGTGAGTTCAGAAAAGGGTAAGAACAAGCGTTATAACAGATATGAAGAAATTGTTCAGGTCCTGCTTATCTTTTTGACTTATCTCCCTCTCTGAATCAGAGCAAGCTCTAAGATCTTCTGGGGGAGGGGGGCTTCTCTAGCTCTCACCTCCGTCTCAAGTGAGGTAGGGATGAGAGAGAGGGCCTTCTCCGTGGTGGCCCCTTAGCTCTGGAACTCTCTCCCCATGGAGCTCAGATTAGCCCCTACGCTGTCCACCTTTCATAAAGATTTAAAAACTTGGATGTTTCAATGTGCCTTTGAATAACTATTTAGCTCCCGATCAGGTCTGCCCAGCCTTAACTTATTGTTTTGCTTGTTTCCAGCACTTTACTTCAAGCCTCGGCCCTATTGTTTTGAGTTTTGCACAAGCCTTGCCATTCCATCATGAATCTGAATATGCCCATTTTTTCTGGTTACTGGGGTTGATGTAAATTGATACGTTTTATTATACTTTTCTGGTTCTAATTGTTTTAATTATATTGTTTATTTCTATGTTTTTAATTATGTGACTTTGTTTATGCTGGGCTTGGTCCCCATGTAAGCCGCCCTGAGTCCCTTTTGGGGAGATGGTGGCAGAATAGAAGAATAAAGTTATTATTATTACTATCATTATCATTATTATATGAAGAAAGGTTGAGGAAGTTGAGTATGTTCATTCTGGTGAAGAGAAGCCTGAAGGATGACATAGTTTAACTCCATAAATATCTAAAGGGCTGCCAGAGAGCAGAGGATGTGGATTTATTCTCTGATGTCCAGGGAGTAAGATCAGGTTTAATGGCTTTAAGTGGTAGGATGGTAGATTTTGACTGTACATTAGAAATAACTTCTTGACAGTAAGCATAGTTTGGCAATGGAACTAGTAGCCTAGCAAAGTGATGGGCTATATGTGTATGTGTGCATGTGTGTGATTGAACACCTTCAAAAAGAGGCTGGTCAGTCATTTACTTGGGACACTCTAACTGGAGTTCCTGAACAGAAGGTTGGGCTAGATCAGTGGTTCCCAAACTGTGGTCCGTGAACCATCAGTGGTCTGCAAGAACTAAGCTATGGTCCGTGGCCTCACTGTTACTACACCATTGCAACAAGAGTGACTGGTCTTGCGAAACCCTCTTATAGTGCTGAGACTTATTAAATATGATTTTCTGTGGGTGAGCAGATTGTGACTACTGGATGGCATATGTTCTGTATCAGAAACTAGAGCTGATATGGTCTATCCAATGCAATTTTCTGAATCAGCACCCCAAATAACCCAATCGAATCTAAAGTTGACCAAAAACTGATTTGTAACTCTTTTGGTACTAATGTTGGAGAGTGGTCCCTGGTCAGAGTAATCCCTGGTCAAAACAAAAAGATTGGGAATCACTGGGCAAGATGGTCTCTGAGACGATAGACCCTATTATTCTATGGTTCTATTCATTGTAATTTTATTGCTCAGTAATTTTCTGTTTACTAGCTCTTTACCATTTTCACCTTTTTTCTCATGTCATTTATGATACAAGGTGATCTATGTTGAACCTATCAAGGAATTTTCTTGCCAAGGTGCTTTCAGGGGGGTTTGTCATTGCCTTCCTTTGAGGCCAAGAATGTATCCCTTGCAGAAGGTCATCCAGCAGGTTTCCATGGCCAAGTGAGAATTGAAACCCTGGTGTCCACAGTCATATTTCAACATTCAAACCACTATACCACATTGGTTGTTATAGAGATAGATAGATAGATAGATAGATAGATAGATAGATAGATAGATAGATAGATAGATAGATGATAGATAGATGATAGATAGAGAGATGATTGATAGATAGATAGATAGATAGATAGATAGATAGATAGATAGATAGATAGATAGATATAATAGATAGATATGATAGATAGATAGATAGATAGATAGATAGATAGATAGATAGAGATAGAATATATACTTATATTCCTGCAACTTCCATAGCTTCTGATAGAGTTATAAATAACAATAAATGCATCTACAAAATTGAATACATTTGTCCTGGTTGCTAAATAGGGGCAGCATGCAGTTGGTAGGACAGTGGAAAAAATGGGCAGGTAGGAATGTATAAGGAAAGGGCTTTTGCATCCCTGCTTGTAGACTAACAAGGAACATTTCTGGCTGACTGCTTTAGTAAACAAGATTCTGGATGGAATAGATAAACTGGTTAGATTATAGTTCTTCATGCAATGACAAATGGAAAAATACACCTTATCTGTCCTGTTCCTATCCTTGGTGATTTAATTGAATATTGCAAATGGTTACTGACCTGCTAGTACAAATATATGGTTGCCAGGTTCCCCTTGTTTGATTATATAGCTGCCTTGCTGGTATGTTCTTCCATACATACATTCTACCATATCTCTGATCTGCTGTGGATCCAGTCTCTTCAGAAATTGGTTTCTGCTCAGAGCCTCTGTAATGAGCTTTTTCTCACTTGTATTCAACAACCGAGAGGAGACAGAGGAGAGAAGGGCAAAGTCAGATTCATTTGTAGGAGAAAGATGAACAGCATTGTGCACTGCAAATTCCTTCATTGTGGTATTCGCACAATATCTAGGAAGGCAATACATTCTTTTTGTTGGAAAAGAAATGTTCCAGCATATAAGAAGGTGTTTTGTATTAGGTTAAACTATTTGTTAATCTGAAGCCCCTGGTGGCACAGTGGATTAAACCGCTGAGCTTCTGAACTTGCTAATTGAAAGGTCGCAGGTTTGAATCCAGGGAGCAGCGTGAGCTCCCACTGTTAGCCCCAGCTTCTGCCAACCTAGCAGTTCAAAGAAATAGGTACCACTCCGGCGGGAAGGTATCGGCGCTCCGTGCAGTTATGCCAGCCACATGACCTTGGAGGTGCCCATGGACCATGCTGGCTCTTTGGCTTAGAAATGGAGATGAGCACCAACCCCCAGATTTGGACACAACTGGACTTAATATCAGGGGAAATCCTCTACCCACTAATATGTTACTTTAGCCCAGGTTGGTCTAATTTAAATGGCACCAGCTCCCCCAGATAAAGCTGGCATTAAATGTTTTGGTAGGAACTACAGCAACTCTGAATTCCTTCAAAGCACTGTGTCTTCACCCAAAAGAAGTTATGTTCTCTTGTCTTGTAGACAACTAATTAGAGATCTTAGAAGATTTGTTGCCCATTCCACAACCAATGTAATGCTTCCATATAACATCACAGGAACCCCCGGTGGCACAATGGATTAAACCCTTGGGCCAGCAAGACTTGCTGACCTACAGATCACCAGTCTGAATCTGGGGAGAGTGGGTTGAGCTCTCTCTGTCAGCTCTAGCTTCCCGTGTGGGGACATGAGAGAAGCCTCCCACAAGGATGGTAAAACATCCGGATGTCCCCTGGGCAACATCCTTGCAGATGGCCAATTCTCTTACACCAGAAGCGACTTGCAGTTTCTCAAGTTGCTCCTGACATGATAGATAGATAGATAGATAGATAGATAGATAGATAGATAGATAGATAGATAGATAGATATAACATTGCACAAAGCAAAGTCTTCTCAGTAGGGACATATGCTTCCCTTTGCTTGCAAAAACAATTATATAATTATACAAACATTTTATTTCCTTTTAAAACTATTTTGTTTTCAAATTGCATTTCATATGTATTTTACCTGTGGTTCCTATTGTACAGTAATCACAGAGATTTTACCATATTACATGATGTGTAGAAAAATAGAAAATAGGTGGATAACATTGACTAAAAGCTGAACTTGGGCTTACTTTGGTTTGGAAAGATAACCAAGATAGGTTCATGAGAGATATGGGGCTGCAAAACGATGTAAAAGTAGACGAAGATAGCATCATGTTTGGCATTGCAAAATATTGAAAAGTAAACACAGTAGACCCCAATAACTGCAGAACCCATATCCGTTTTGCAAACCGTACCAAAAAAAACCTGTAGCTTGATCTCTCTAAGTCTAAGGCCCCTTCTACACTGCCATATAAAATCCAGATTATCTGCTTTGAACTGGATTATACGGCATTGAAGTCTCATATAATCCAGTTCAAAACAGATAATGTGGATTATCTGCTTTGGGTTGCGGTAGGTTTTTCAGGTTGTATGGCGATGTTCTAGAAGCATTCTCTCCTGACATTTCACCTGCATCAATGGCAGACATCCTCCGAGGTTTTGACCTCACAACCTCTGAGGATGCCTGCCACAGATGCAGGCGAAATGTCAAGAGAGAATGCTTCTAGAACATGGCCATACAGCCCGAAAAATCTACAACAACCCAGTGATTCCAGCCATGAAAGCCTTTGACAATTATCTGCTTTGATAATCTGGAGTATATGGCAGTTTAGAAGGAACCTGAGTTGAAGTGAAGTCACACAAAAAGTAAAAGCAAACGAACAAAGACTAGATGACCTGATAAAAAGTAAAGAAACTATACTTGGACCAGAAGCATACCTTGGAATTGTACTAGAGAACCTAGGAAGGCCAAAAACTCTACTGGTGGGGATTTTGGGAGCTTGCAGAAATGAAACCATGAATGTCAAATCCATTGAGAAGGAGTCACACTATAGTTAGGAAATCCTTAGCGATATATTGCAAAGGGATCTGCCAATAGCATCTAATTCATCCTTACCCAAAAGCTACAATTACTCCCCAGCGGTGGCAGGAAAAGCAGGTACACCTACTGTGTATAGTTTGGGTCTAACAGCAGCAGACAGATTCATCCAGACTCCAGAGAATGATAACAGCATACAGGAAACACTGCAGCTATTCATGACAGCTATTATTAAAATAATTACCATTCCAAATACAGCATCCCATATGCCTGGAATCTAATTTCTGAAATCTATATTGCCATTCTAAATTAAGACAAGAGGCCAAATCTATGAAGCAAAGTTTATGCCAGAACGGCAGCATGCTTCGTAATACGGCCAGAAGGACTGGGTCAGGAACATTAACTGCTTGAGAAATCTTAGAAATATTAAGAGAGGAATAAAATTAAATGTAGGAAATAAAAGGAAACTACGTACTGTGACTATAATTTTAAAGGAAGCTGAAAGACTACGTTCTTTTTTTAAGTAGGAGATTAAATTAAGGAAAGCTGTAATATAATTTTTAAGAAAACAAGTGATTGTACCTATCACGAGATTCTTGGAAAAGAACTTGGAGTAATGATGCAGCAAGATAGAGGACACTGTATTTCTGCCACTCAAAAGGCCACATGGAAGAGTTATTAGAGGAAGATGGAAACATTTGGGCTGCTATAAAATTTCATACTCAAAATAGAATAATTGCGTGTATTGAAAGTACCCAAGGTAGAAACAGAGGCGCTGCAATATTTATGAATCATGGAATGTTGTCCAAGATATATGGTTCCATCACAAAGGAACACATGCTACTTCATCACACTAGAGAATAAATCCACTTAAAATCTGGTTTCTGCGTTCTGCAGAATTCTGAGGTTTGTAGTTTAGTGAGGCTGTTAAAAGGTCCTCTCTAAACTACAAACCCCAGAATTCTGCAGGGGCCAGCAACTGGATTTTAAGTGGATTTATTCTAGAGGTGTAAGCAATGTTTTCATCAAATTAGCATGTTTCCAGAAGCATCTCTCCCTTCTCTACTCCTCCCCCAAAAACCTAAGACCGATCTTCATCTCAAGGAATGTATTTATTGATTTATTTATTTCATATTATTTATTTATTTCAAATATTTGTATCCCGGCCTTCTCTAACCCCAAAGGGGGACTCAGGGCGGCTTACAGCCGGCAACAATTCGATGCCCCCCATATACAAACAGATAAAACAACAGTTACAAAATAGGTCAAATATTAATTTAAATTAAAACCATTTAAAATAGTGCAAATTGAATTGGTTGGCCATATCTAAATCTGAGTTGTACGATCAACAACATAGTCCGAAGCCTGTCCATAATCCATTTTCCATAGCATTGTCATCATTTTTATTGTCAGCCTGGTATCCGAATGCCTGGTCCCAAAGCCACATTTTCAGCTTTTTCCTGAAGGAAAGGAGGGAAGCAGTTGACCTAATTTCACTGGGGAGTGAGTTCCACAGGTGGGTGGCCATCGCCAAGAAGGCCCTGTCTCTCGTACCCGCCAAGCACATTTGCGACAAAGGTGGGATCAAGAGCAGGGCCTCCCTGGAAGAACGTAAGCTTTGATCTGGTACATAGTATCAAAAGGATTGCATAAATTAGTATAAAACTGATAAAAATAGAAGGAGCATAAGTGGCTAAATATCTTTTGACCAAAAATGGGCAACAGCAACCACATTGTTTGTAGCCTCTAACAACTCTTCCTCTGTACATGAGGCAGGATAATGTGGACAAGCATACAGATGCAGAGTTGTTTGTTCTTCTCCACAGTCGCACAAGGTGGAGGATTCTTTTAGGTAGTGCAATTTTGACAGGTTGTCTTTTGATCTGACCACTCCACTTCTGAGTCTGTTCAGGGACTTCCAACTATCTCAAGGAAGTGACACAGGCCTTACCCAAAATTCATTGTCTAGTGTGATGAGCTCCATAGAGGGATGTTCCCTTAGGAAAGAAATAACTTTTTAAAAAAATTCTAGGATTAAGTCCTTATATCAGGTGCAAGGCAGGATAAAAATAAAATAAATATGTTTTTAAAAGAAAGATATAACATAGCAACTAAGACTTTCCTCCAAACAAAGGCCTTCAAACCCCCTGCCACAAATGTCTACTTCTTGTAGCAGCTGTCATGACCCATGCTTACAAAACATCACATTTAATAATTTCATATATATATTCATTTGCAAATAGGCAGTTCTGAATCCCCATCTAACCTGAAGGGCACCCTTTTCCCCTGGATTTCCATGTATCATTATTACTTGCAAGCTGCTCTGTCTAATGAAACAAATCTCAGCTCAGCGCTCTGTAAATCTCCAAGGTCTTTTCACTCTTGGATTCATAAAGCAGAGTAAAACTATCCCAGAGAACCAGGCTTCACAATGAGATCTCTAGAGGACACCATAAGAGTGAATGATCATTTCCCGCTTAGCAGCTTGATTTATTTCCTTTATTACCTGTACAGCAAACCTGAAAATGAAAGATGGCAGTGAGAAAAGATTGGGAAAATAAGATCGGATGCATAATAATCACAGGGTTTGCAGGTAGAAATGGATAACTTAAATCATTGTGTGCTCCTTAGCTTTACGCTGCCAATATAGGTCACAATGTTCACTTGAAAACAAATTTCATCAGCACTGACTGTCCCATACTGTTATCCTGGGTGGGTGTTTTTTTTTTTTTACCTAAGACATAGCTAATTAAGCCCAATATTAAAACATTTCCACAGAATATTACTCTCTCGGTGACCATTTCAGATTAACTCGCTTTCAAAGTTGAATGGTGTCATCTATCTAAAAATGACCCCACATGAAAATATTTTGTTTTCAACAGTTTATAGTTTATACAACTCCAT